AGTCAGTATTTATCGTTGGTCCTGCTCAAATTGGCAAGTACTTATCTTACTGGCACCTAGCAGCAGTCTATTTTCGTGCTCGCGTGAGTGGCGGTCGTGAACGGTGGACAATCGGCCAGGCCGCAAGTCGATCAAGTAAGCAACGACATCAGAAGGGGAAAAAGACGCCTATCAAATCACCACTACGTCGGTCTGACATGATTTCCCCGGTGTGTTTATGGGCGACCACTTCCAGGTGTATGTATTATCGGCTGGCACTCATCCTCTGGTGTGGTTTTTGCTAACATGCAATTATCGGCGTTATGCGGGGTAGTCTCACTTCGGCGTGCTGGCGTCCTTGTGCTGGTTTGCGTCCTGTTTGGAGATAGTCATCCAGCTGGCTTACAGTTGGTTTTGGAAATATTTTTAGGAATAATAAGCACGCATGCACGCACGCACGCACCTAGACAGAGGACGAACTGATAGAAGACAATTGACTCGACCAGTATCACCGACGGGAAGAGGCGAATGCACTCCGATAGGAAATGCTCCGTGGTATTCGAGATTACCCTAGGGGGAAGAAGGAGGTGAAGAGTGGGAGAATAGGAATAAAAAAAACGATAACAAGTTGCAAATGCAGGCAGGCAGGGAGGACAAAACATCAGATGCCTGAGCAAAAACGCACCAGGTCGTATTGGGCGAGTCTTCGGCGGGAGGATGGAAACAGGCAGAAAGACAGGCGTAATTTGTGCCAACTGAGGGGCAGAGAAGCAGCAGGTGGACGAGACCAGACAGCACGCAAACGAGGACCGACGGCAGAAACCGTAAAGTGGTCACCAGTGCGAACCGACAGCACCGCTGGTAAAAAAAAACAAAAACACAGTGATGTCCACTAGGCTTATCCTTGCAGGGGCTGTCTATTCAACGGTCTGCTCCGAGGATAACAAACATTAAGAAGGCAAAAGAGCTTCAAAAACAACTTTGCTTTTCGGCTTGACACAATTTTGAGGCAAAGACAACTCTGTTTTTGTTAGATGCGAAGTGTAATTTATCATAGCCGACGAAGTTGTAGACGGTAAATTAGCCTTAAAATTTCCAGCCGACTTGACTCGGTCCTGTCAAAAGAAAAGGAGACAAGGGGGAGAGGGGCGGAAGGTAATTCCTGTATAATCCCTTCTCACTGTAAAAGATATTTGGATAGGCTATGAGCCGGTATGAAACGCTAGCAGTCTTGTGCCTACAAAGGATAAAAACTGTCAGAATAACTTAATCTTGCCCTAGACTGAGTGTCAGTCCGTAATGGTTGTCTCGTGGTATGTTCTTATCTACCCATTACCCAGGCGACAGTTGGATGGGTGATGTTTGCTTCTTATGGGTTATGGTTGCAGCAGGCCTAGGGGTAGGGGAATGTGAAGATTTTTATTGCGTACAAACCCCTCATCAGTAGTCCCAAGCTAGCCCTGCCATTAGCAGAGAATGGGTGTGAAAATAAGGGCAGTCAGTTGATGCACAGAACTTCTGCACTGAACGCCGAATCGGGTGCTAGTTACCGCTGCTCGCTGAGGGTCTTTAGCCAACTGGACGGACATACGGTTCCGAGGTCAGGATTGCATCCTAGAAGGTTTTCTGGGTTAGTATTTTCCCACAACCAAATTTCGCGATCAGAAAATGCAACCTTGATGAAAGTGACCTGCTAACTGCTACTCTATAAACACTAATTGTGATTAAATTCATGGCGCGAGGTGGGACGTTCGTAGCTCAGTGACTAGAGCATTGGCTTCCGGTAAAGGCCTTCTCTATTACGAGG